CACTACTAATTTAGTGGTGAGAATATATTTTAAATTAGATAAATTAAAAATATGACTAAAAATTGCAGCCTGATTTAGCCAGGAAAAATAATTGCTTGTTTTAATATATTTTTGTATATAAAAATGCAACCATATTTGAACTTTTAAAGTCATTATAAAGTAACAAATCTTAATACATTGAAATATATCTATGAAAAAAATATGAAAAGGTCTGGTTTAGCTGTTATATATTTATAATAGTTAGATTAGAACAAACATTTTTATATAATGATGGTAAAACTTACATTTAGCTATTTTATCAAGATAATTTAGAAAAATTTTTACGTACAGATCATTTCTGTGCAATTTTTCATGTAAGAGAAATGAATGAAAATTTTGTTTTATTTCAATCTAACAAGAAATTCTAACAATCAAATATTGTTGAAAACAATTCTGAAATACAAACAGGGCATTTGGTTTTTTTAAAGCTTTATTTTGTTTTTATACAATCTGAAATTTTGATTGATAATCAAAACTGTCTAATCCTAATAAATATCTTGCATCGTGTCTGCTGGTGAGCCAGACAATTTGGCACTCATTTTCTTTGCTAAAGGAAGTATTGAGGAAGTCTAATTAGTAATGTTAGGCATTTGAGGGCAAAAAAGACAGGCAAAATGGTTCAGTAAATTTAACACGTTAACGGCTTTACAAGGCACATGTGACTTGTGCAGACATGTCTAGTTAGGCTGACAGACATAATTGTTCGTTTTCCCATGGGGTGGCGCATATATTTTGATAACTAATAATCCTACAGGCATAATACTTGATATATCGATATTATTTTATTAGGTCCAATAAAATATATTAATTTAATAGTGTTAAGTTCAATTGTAACATGTGTCAGGTGTGTGGGTGTTTTCAAGTGTTGATGGACAGTCCACAGATCTGTCACACGTGTCAGGTGGGTGATGTAATAGTATCCCTAAAAATTCGGGGTGAGATTGTCCTGCCTAGAGAGGGAGAAATTGTGAGAAAGGGAAAATTTGTGTGCTTTCCTTTGTGTGGGTTGAGTCAGTGTTGTGTGTGGAGGCAGTACTGACCAGTATGCTACCAGAGTGGGTAACTGTGTGGCTGGTCAAGAACCAGTGTTGTAATTATCAAGTAATTGTCGGGTGCCTGAGTGTTGCTCAATTGTGGAGTGCCAGAGTGTTACTCGCTTATTTGAGACAGTAAAGTTTAATTGTGTTGTTATTGTTGTAAAGGAACTGTGTACTGTTTTTTAAGACCGTGTAAACGGGAACATTTTACACCATCATCATCATTTTTATACAACAAATAGTACAAGGCATGGGTAACTCATGTAGCCCTAATTTAGTTAAAGATTACTTTTGGACAGTACAAGTCACATATGTCTCGTGTCTGCAATCTGGGGTTTTAGTGCAAACACATTATTTTTATTGTTCTTGCATTCTTAAAAGTTCTTTGTTCACATAACTCTTAGTGAATTATAACTCAATATAATTATAGTCACTTCTCGACTTACGACAGGGTTCGGTTCTGCAACTTTGGACGTAAGTCAAATTTCATACAAAAATAAATAATATAATTGTAATAGACAATGTAAAATAAAGTAGAATTTCCAATTTACACTGTGAGTAACTACTTATAACAAAACAATTAGCCACCTTACACAAACACACACGAAGGGTAACTAACTGCACAACAAAACTAAAGATGACAATTGATTGCAGAAGCGCACAATCAATTGCTAGAAGCATGCAAGGTGTATATGTTATATATTTGACAAAAACTATAAAAAATTTATACATTTTTAAAATTTCTTTATGAAATTTTTTCATTGTAAGTGCAAATGGTCATAAGTCAAGGTGGTTGTAACTCAAGAAGTTACTGTAATATTAAAACATGAAAATTAGTATACAGCTTTTAAATTTTTTTAGTTTTTTATTTTTGCATTCTATTTGCAATGCTATCTTTTGTAATTGAATGCTAAAAGTTTTTACTTTACAAAATTGAAGCATCAGTTTTAATTTCCCATGGGAGCTGTATGAATCACATTTGCCTCAGGCTATGGCAGAGGAATAGAGATTATAGTGTCTTATATTAAATATATTAACGATTTTGTCTTATGTCCAATGACCAGCCATATAGAATGCATTAATGAATTGAAGTCGCACAAGTCACCTGTGCCTCGTACAGCCCTGTATTGAAATAGACTACAAGTCACAGGTAATCATAATGCCTGGTAGCTGCCTAAAAGTTTATCTACTGATGTTGTTAACGTGTTAAGAAGGGGCAAATTGGTATAAATATTATGATGCTTGCCTCATAAGTCACTCATTATTAATTTAGTAGTAATAACTTATGATCATTGTGATAGTTTCATATGCAACTAAATTTTTTTCAATTTTTTACATTACAAAGTGTACAATTTTTTTATGTGGTATGTTTTTATTTATTAAAAATAATTTCAAAAAATGAATTTACACTAACCAAACTACTTATCTTCATCACTTGAGTCTGGCATTCTGGGGTGGAGGTTAGGTGGGTAAGGACCCTCAAACATTAGTGTGAAGCTTTTGGATACATCTAATTTTAAATTACATTTTCTGATCTTTAGTGTTGCAACGAATACTGAATATTCGGCCAAACTATTCGGCTTGATTGGCGTGCAAATTGCATTATGGCAAGGACCCTGTTCTCTATTGGCCCGCTGTCACTACGCTTCACCAATTGCGTTAATTTTTGACAGTTGTAGCAGACAGACGTCATGCAGTATGTTGGAAAGGTACAATGGGATGGTTTGATGTTCAAGTCTCCTGATTACTAGTTCACATAAATCCCCCGAAAGCGTGGTGTCCCCGTGGGAAGCCCTCTTATATCATCAACGTCCTCCTGTACAGGAGGTATGTTGTTGATATTTTTATCATATGGAAAACAGAACCCAACATCAACCAGTTCATTAACTCAATGAACAATAACCCTTATGGCCTAAACATCAAATTGGACCAAAAACGCAACACCTCCGCGCATTTTCTCGACTTGGACCTTCTGTTCATCCCAGCTAACTCGGAGGATCCTTACTCTTACAAGATCGTGGCTTTTCAGGCCTTAACTAAGCGGGCGTCCACGTACCACTTTAATTATGAAAACACCATAGCTGAGCTAAGACACATTCAGGAAATGGCCACACAGCATGGGTATAAAAAGAACTTAATATACAATATCGCTTGTGCTTACACACAGGCGAATGCACATGACACTACCAATGTCCCTGGGGGGTCTTTGGATAACAACCATGCAAGAAAAATCATAGGGTACAACCACCATCTTGATACAATATACAGAGAAATTTCATCCATCACTAAAACTAAGATAACTTACAGTAGGCCAAGATCGGTTTACAACGTACTCTGCAACGTAAAAGACACAATTGACTTGAAACACGCACCAGGGGTATATGCTGTCCTGCTTTGGGATGATAAATTTAATAGCCGTTTGGTTTATGTGGGCTCAACCAAATGCTCCCTTCATAAACGGCTTTGTGAGCACAAATACAACATTGACAATAAAAAACACACCACTGCCCTCTCAACTGTTGCCACGGAACCAGGAATCACAGATGACCTACAAAATGCCTGTCTGATCAGGCTCTCACAGCGTACAGATCAGCTCAGAACCAAGGAGACTCTCAAAATATATAAAACAGGATTACATAACACATGCATCAACTCTAGGGATGCAGTCAGTATATCTAACGCATGGAAATTTTGTTATGAGGGAACCCATCCCCACAACTGATTTTGAATTGTGTATATTTCACCTGCATTCACCGTTTCGCAAACACGATGTTACATGTGCTTAACCGTCATTTCAGCACGAGCGTAATGTTCTATTTTTATTCTTAACTTTGCTTTTCTAAATTCTGAATCGCATTCGTTTTGTTTTATTGTTCCATTCCACACGCATTCGAATTCCTCATAACTGTAGCCTGATGAAGACTTGGATGGGGTCAAAAATGTTTGCTGTTTTGTAAACACGTATCACTGGAGTTACAAAGGTTTTTTGTGTGATGAATTATATTTCCTCCAGCATTTGCTAAGAGGTTCATTTGTCTCATATTACTGTTTAAATAAATTTTACACACACATAAATTATGTTAATTTTCTTTAAAAGTATCTAATTNGTTTGGTTTATGTGGGCTCAACCAAATGCTCCCTTCATAAACGGCTTCGTGAACACAAATACGACATTGACAATAAAAAACACACCACTGCCCTCTCAACTGTTGCCACGGAACCAGGAATCACAGCTGACCTACAAAATGCCTGTCTGATCAGGCTCTCACACCGTACAGATCGGCTCAGAACCATGGAGACTCTCAAAATATATAAAACAGGATTACATAACACGTGCAACAACTCTAGGGATGTAGTCAGTATATCTAACGCGTGGAAATTTTGTTGAGGGAACCCATCCCCACATCTGATTTTGAATTGTGTATATTTCACCTGCATTCACCATTTCGCAAACACGATGTTACATGTGCTTAACCGTCATTTCAGCACGAGCGTAATGTTCTATTTTTATTCTTAACTTTGCTTTTCTGAATTCTGAATCACATTCATTTCGTTTTATTGTTTCATTCCACATGCATTTGAATTCCTCATAACCGTAGCCTGATGAAGACCTGGATGGGGTCAAAAACGTTTGCTGTTTTGTAAACACGTATCACTGGAGTTACAAAGGTTTTTTGTGTGATGAATTATATTTCCTCCAGTATTTGCTAAGAGGTTCATTTGTCTCATATTACTGTTTAACTAAATTTTACACACACATAAATTATGTTAATTTTCTTTAAAAGTATCTAATTTTAATATTGTAAGAAACAAATGTGGTAAATATAAAATTTTGTAAATAGAACAATATTGTTGAATATGAATTATCATCAAATGTCGTGTATTTTCTGAATGTTTTCTAATGAAATATGTTGTTATTTTTCAGATATGTTGATGAAAATAGGGTTCCAATTTCATCTCCTTTCTCCAGAGAATTTATGGAAATAATGGAGACAATATTAAAAAGTCCTTATTACACTCCAGATCCACAAAAGGCTTGCTTATTTGTTCCATCTCTTGATCTCTTAAATCAGAATAATGTTAGATTAAAAGAAATGTCCCAAGTATTAGCTTCTCTACCTTTGTAAGTTGTTATAAAATTAAACAATATTATAAATAAGTGTAATTACTATTAATTATTAGCAGGGCATTTTTAAAAAAAGATTTGAACAATAGGTTAAGATATTTTGTTTGAGTATAAATTTATTATAGCTGGAGATGGTAAACGGGAACATTTTACACCATCATCATCATTTTTATACAACAAATAGTACAAGGCATGGGTAACTCATGTAGCCCTAATTTAGTTAAAGATTACTTTTGGACAGTACAAGTCACATATGTCTCGTGTCTGCAATCTGGGGTTTTAGTGCAAACACATTATTTTTATTGTTCTTGCATTCTTAAAAGTTCTTTGTTCACATAACTCTTAGTGAATTATAACTCAATATAATTATAGTCACTTCTCGACTTACGACAGGGTTCGGTTCTGCAACTTTGGACGTAAGTCAAATTTCATACAAAAATAAATAATATAATTGTAATAGACAATGTAAAATAAAGTAGAATTTCCAATTTACACTGTGAGTAACTACTTATAACAAAACAATTAGCCACCTTACACAAACACACACGAAGGGTAACTAACTGCACAACAAAACTAAAGATGACAATTGATTGCAGAAGCGCACAATCAATTGCTAGAAGCATGCAAGGTGTATATGTTATATATTTGACAAAAACTATAAAAAATTTATACATTTTTAAAATTTCTTTATGAAATTTTTTCATTGTAAGTGCAAATGGTCATAAGTCAAGGTTGTTGTAACTCAAGAAGTTATTGTAATATTAAAACATGAAAATTAGTATACAGCCTTTAAATTTTTTTAGTTTTTTATTTTTGCATTCTATTTGCAATGCTATCTTTTGTAATTGAATGCTAAAAGTTTTTACTTTACAAAATTGAAGCATCAGTTTTGATTTCCCATGGGAGCTGTATGAATCACATTTGCCTCAGGCTATAACAGAGGAATAGAGATTATAGTGTCTTATATTAAATATATTAATGATTTTATCTTATGTCCAATGACCAGCCATANTAAAAATTTTAAATGATTTGACTGAAAAAATATATACAGTATATATATGTATACTGTATAATCTTATAGGTGGTGATAAAAGTCTCCCCAGTCAATTGTTTTGAAAACAGATTGTGCAATAATTGTGACACCACAGTGATTGCACTGTTTGTTGTGAAAATAACAAATGGAATCTCAGAAAAGATTTTAACATATTCAGTACCAGTCATATGTGGGATTATCCTAAGGTTCAAAATTTCTATATCCTTGAAATTCTGTATCTTTTGTAACTTTAATATTTTCAACCTTGTGTATCTCATCCTAAATATTATATTGAAAAATATTATGATTTTCTTATTTTTGGAGATTTTGTCGTAACTATCAGATTCATTTCAGTTGCTTTAAGATAGTTCACATGCAAATTACAATACAATATACAATACACAATAATCATGACTGTTGTATAAAATGTAAAAAGAATATTAACAATGAAAATAATACAAATTGAAGACTAAATACAAATAAACACTTCCATCCTTTTCAACCACAGCAAATTTTATTACTTTCTTGCTGTCATATATAACAGAGGGAAAGTATGGCAATCAGTCAAAAAATGACTCCCCAAGAATTTTACATTTTGGACTTAGGACATCTTGAAATTCCGAGAAATGCAAAAAATTTGGGGTAATTTCTATGTATGGATATTAGTGTATGTATGGAGGGCACGATTTTGTTCACTCTCTTTGAAGCTTAATAACTCCTGTGCTTTTTGTTGAAAATTTCTAAAATTTTGTAGGGAGGTTAGTTTATTAGGGAAATTGATGATATTAAATTTTGGTGGTTAAATGTTGAGCAAGTGGAGAGATAATGGAGGTCATGTGTATCTCCAGTAGTGTCAGATTTAATGACAGTTTTACTTGTTATTAGCATTTATAATTTTTTATAAAATTNAACCTTGTGTATCTCATCCTAAATATTATATTGAAAAATATTATGATTTTCTTATTTTTGGAGATTTTGTCGTAACTATCAGATTCATTTCAGTTGCTTTAAGATAGTTCACATGCAAATTACAATACAATATACAATACACAATAATCATGACTGTTGTATAAAATGTAAAAAGAATATTAACAATGAAAATAATACAAATTGAAGACTAAATACAAATAAACACTTACATCCTTTTCAACCACAGCAAATTTTATTACTTTCTTGCTGTCATATATAACAGAGGGAAAGTATGGCAATCGGTCAAAAAATGACCCTCCATAAGAATTTTACATTTTGGACTTAGAACATCTTGAAATTCCAAGAAATGCAAAAAAATTTGGGGTAATTTCTGTATGTATGGAGGGCACGATTTTGTTCACTCTCTTTGAAGCTTAATAACTCCTGTGCTTTTTGTTGAAAATTTCTAAAATTTTGTAGGGAGGTTAGTTTATTAGGGGGATTGATGATATTAAATTTTGGTGGTTGAATGTTGAGCAAGTGGAGAGATAATGGAGGTCATGTGTATCTCCAGTAGTGTCAGATTTAATGACAGTTTTACTTGTTATTAGCATTTACAATTTTTTATAAAATTCATTCTTATTCTCAAAATTAAGCTTTTTGTCATTTTATAATAGTTAAAAATCAACTTCAAAGATGGTGAAACGAACGCGCAGGCGTGGAGGTATTTGTTTGAGGAATTCAAACAGGGACAGTTGGAGGGGTGAAACCCGGCACGCACAATTGTTTACATCTCTGGCAACATCGTTACGATTGTCAGGAGGAAACACAGCCAGTCACCACCTGCAGCAGACCTCGGTGGAAGTCGAAAGCGTTTGTGGAGTTTACTACGGACATAACACTTGTAAAAAAAGGTTTCGTGGATTGTTATTATAAAAAGTGTTTTAATAAAATGTGATAACAGATGGTGGTATCAAATGTTGCTGGAAAAGTAAAATAACTTGTTGCTGGATTTTTTTATACAGTCTTCAATTTGTACTATTTTTAACTTTCCTTGCATTATGATAGCCTGTTCATTCAATTATAAGAATGACAATAACAATGTGTTCAACATATTACTATGCACATTACTGCAATATTTCACTTGCAAGAGGAACCTGGCAGTCATTATCAATTTTGATGAAATTTTGTGCATATGTAGTATTTACTTGTACTTAAACTTTACCAAAGCCGCAGGATCCACTATACAGGCATTCTTGAGAAAAAGTTTTCTACAATCATTAATACCTGAAATGGAAGACTGATTCATGAAGTAGGCAGCATGGCATGGTTAGTTAAGCATCACATGTGGAGCTTCCCTTTTTGGGTTTGATCCCCGTATGCAGTTGTTTTTTTTACCTTTATAATTAATTTTATCATTTTTAACTTTCTTGTGTACAGTTTTTAAGGTTATTTAAAATATATTTTTATTTTGATCACTCCATTTTTAAAAAGTACATATAACAACATTATAATCACATTTTGTATTATTTAATGTAATGTAGGTTTTCATAGGCCTCTTAGTTGAAATATGATAGTCATACATAAAAAATGAAAAGTTTGTATTAATAATAAATTCGTGAAGTGATCAAACAAATTCTCAAATATACGATGAAATTTTTGTAGATGACAAAGATATTCCATTTTACCAATTAAAAATTGTTCCGCCAAAACATTCTCATCTTTGTCAGCTTTGTGATGATTATTTTAATAGACACATTAAAAATTTTATCAAACAATTACAAAGTTGTAATTATCTACTTAAAACCAATTGTGAAAATGTTATTAAAATATAATCTGTAATTCATCAGTTGAGCAAATCCATTTTTTTATGACATGTTAAAATATGCATGGTTTGAGTCTCAAATAACATATGAAAGAAGTATTTTCAAAAATGTTAATGAAGTTTATTTTTCACCCTCTGTTGTTAAAAGAAAATATGAAGGCTGAGCAAATGAAGTAGCAATGACTGTACTGTACATGTATGTAATGCAATGAGCCATTTTGTTTTAACTGTTTTTATGATAAAATACTATGCAAAATGCTGTCATGTTGTTATAAAACAGTCATTGTAATATTTATTGCACATATAATTTTTTTGGGGGTGAAAATGAAATTGTAGGAAAATAATTTAATTTAACCACAGGACTGAGTCCTGTGGTTTTATTAGAGTTTTAAGTACAAGCAAATACTACACGTACACAAAATTTCATCAAAATCAGTGACAACAAACTGCCAGATTCCCCTTAGTCATTGAATGCAAGTCATATTGCTTTTATTGGCATAAAAAGTTAAAAGAATAAAAATTCTTTTAGCTCTTTACTTATTATTGCAAGATAATTTTTATGATGACTACAGTAATAATAATAATAATAATTTGTGATCTTGCATATGTAAATCATTTCATTTATCACTAATAAGTAAAAATAGATGTTACTTAAGTTCATGAATGTTAATAATGTAAAAATTTGAAAACCTAAGGATGAAACATAGTTATAAAAAAGTTTTAATATAGTAGCAAATATCAAAAACCACTAATGTGTGTATTCCTTTACATATCTAAAATGCCTGCAACTAGATGTTTTGTGCTGTCATAATGGATGACATGTTAATAACTTGATAGCTATGCAAAAAACAATTATAGGCCTAAAGATAAAATAGTAAGTTATCTACTAGTTTATATGATTTATGACTTTTTGGATTTCCCAAATTACATATATTCTGTAAACACTCAGGACTTAGGAAGATTATTGTGTTTTTACAGTTTTAGTAACTGTCTAGATATCATAATTTCATGCAGATAGTCTACAGTAGCATATAACCGATATCTATTCTCAGAAAAGTTTAAACTGTTGAAAATACAAATGGCTACTGTTCATTTCTGTTTTATTTATTAAAGTAATAATAATAAATGCTAAAATAAACTCAAAAAGGTTTTGATATCTAATAACATGGGTTTCAAATTTTGATTGTTTAGCTTATATCATTGTAATGAACAAATTCGACAGTTTGTTTTTACATAAAGTTCTTTCTATAAATCTTTGAAAGTTATTATGTACAGAGATGGAATTATTGAAAACTTATCAGCTTTCAAGATGCAAGTTCAAGTAAAAGTTTCTGATAATATCAATTAATAGCATAGACTGACATACATAAAATGAATGAGAAAGAACTGAAGGTGAAGGAAGTGAATAGGTGTTTGATTGTTTTAGGAAAAATTGCAATGACAGATAAATATGCCTGTGTCATGCAAATTATTTTTTTGTTTTTTAAAGATGCTGTTAGAAACATTATACAAAAGGAAAATTGTTGCAAGTTTAAATCAGTAAATAATTTACATCATCATCATCATAATTAATATCTGTTTTCAAATTGACTTTAAATAAAATAATCTACAAATTACTCATAGAGAATTAAGATGGGAACATTTGAGTCTAAATAGCCAGGTTATTTAGCTATATTTTTATAATGTCTAAGCATAAGTTTATCGTTACATAAAGTTAAATGATTAAAGAAGTGGAGAAAAAAGTAAAAAAATTATACCATCAAAAATCTGGACTCTTGATGCACATTAGACACATTCATCTGTGTAAAACAACTGACAAAGCACAAAGCATCATGGGAGTGGTGGAACATTGTTGCCTCTAGTTATCTGTGCATGTGCATGGTTCTGTATGTTTGTTTCTTGCTCCTATAACACATTGAAATCATCTTAGTGTTTTAAAAACCAAACCAGTTATAAAATAAAAATAAATAATTATAAATGATTATTGTTGTACTTCGGATGATGAATCTAAATCTCTCAATAAACAAAAGCTTAAGCAATTTGACTGATTCCTTAGAAGTTGAACTACACAATCTCTTTACCAGTGATACCATAAAATGGTCTGAAATTACTTTGTCTGACTTGCACAGCTACTTTATGGACAGAACCTGCTATTAAAAATTACAAATTGTTAGACTGTTATAATTATTTAGTAAGTGGAAAAGTGCATAAAATATGGCATGCAGTAAAACACATGGCATGGCATACTAAAAATATAGTCTGGACAGAATTTTAAAAAATTTCATTATCATGTTGATGCAATCAAGTGAAATTTCTAGTGAGAGAGTGAACATGATGACTTCAGATTATAACACTTCTTACTTTTTTGCTGTCTCTAACATTGTCATTCAGTGACATGAAATTTTCCCTTTTGTTAGATTGCTGATTGAATTGATTAATTTCTCTGTAAGGAAACTTCAATCATTGTCTTTTTGCCTATATATACCAAAGAAAGTATATTTGATATATACAACCTCGACAAAAAATCTCAGACATCATGTTATTTTAATCCATCTCTAGTTTATCCTTCAATAAAATCAAACAGAAAAATTTTGTACACTTATAATTATTTTATATTAGTAAACTTTTATTATAACTGAGCATTTTACATTAAAAAATTTTCATGTTGATAATACATTAAAAAAAGTTATGAGCAGTTGAAAAAAGCATGTGCAAATAAAAAAGCTTGAACAGAGAGCCATTTCTGACAAATAATATTATACCTTGGACAGTACATTAATATTTAACCTTTGGCTTGTATGACAGAGTTTATACGATTGTTCATCATATCAACAAAAGCCAGGCATTCATATGAAGTATCTTCATCCCAAATTTGCTTGATTTTTTTGCTTTAAACCATTCACACTTCCTTGAGGCCATTTCCTCAATGCTTTTTAAATTTTACTCTGTATATTTTCTATAGGGGAAAGGATTGGACTGCTCGATGGCCATTTTAATGTGTTAATATTATATTGAGCCAGCCATCCAAACCTTAGCGGTTTTAACAGTGTGCACCATCCTGCTGGAAAATAAAATGTCCATGATATTGTACACATACTTTTTATAATGATGGTAATAGGGTTTCCTCAAGGATTTGTTGATATTTTGCTGCATTTACTGATCCCTCAATGAAATGCAAATTTCCCACACCGTAACACTTGCTGGTAATTTTACAATGTTCTGTAGACAGTTAGGATGGAATGCCTCTTGCTTTCTAATGACTTCTTTTCTATTGTCTTTAATGCAGACTTCAAACTGCCTCATCACTAAAAGCAACCTGCTTCCACTGTTATGTCTGACATTGGTACTCTTTGGCCCACTTCAATCAGTTTTTTATTTGATTTTTTGCCTTTGTCTAAGGAATGTCACCTGTCACAACTATTAAATAAAAAATAATAATATTTTCTTACTTGGTAGAAGCTGTAGCCAAGTTTATGCAGATAGATACAAATTTCTTTCGTAACTTCCTATCCAGTAACTTTATTCCATTTGTTCACTAATTCACCAAGTGATGCTCCTCGATTTTTTTAATTATTTCGCGGAGGTGCTTGTGATCAGTCTTTGTTATGGTTGCTGGCCTTCCAGTCGATTTTTCTAGATAAATTTTACCAGTTTCCTGATATTTTGAAACAATACTCCATGTTGTGGAATTACCAATTTTTAATTTTTTTGCAATTCTTCTTGAGCATTTGCCCTGTCTATAGAGGATGATAATTACTTCACATACATCAACACTTACAGCCTTCCCAGCTACCATTTTCATTAAACAAATACATCTCAATAATGTTAATGAGAAAAATATGCAAATATCACAAGTCAGCTCATTTACACATTTAGGAACAGGTTATTTAATGTATTGTCCAGGGTATTATTTGTCAGAAATGGCTCTTCCGAGCTTTTTTTTGTCACATATGCTTTTTTTAAACTTTTTTAAATGTATTATCAACATAAAAATTTTTTATGTAAAATCCCCAGTTATAATAAAAGTTTACTAATATAAAATACTTGTGTACAAAATTTTTCTGTTTGATATTATTGAAGGCTAAACTAGAGATTGATTAAATTAACATGCTATCTGAGGTTTCTTTGTCAGAGTTAAATAAAATACTTCATACATCAAACACTGAAAATGAGCTAAGGAGCTAATGCACAAATGCAGTATAAAGTAAGAACATCAAACTGTTATAAAAAATCAACATCTGATGGCTGTGAGGATGAGATTTCTGACCTGCAAACAAGAGAAGAGATTCTATTTCTCTCTTGTGTATAGTTTCTCTTTGCAAGAATGATATAACTACAAACCTATTGCTTGCTGCTACTAATATTACACGTTTTTGTGATACCACTGTGCCTACTGCACTCTACTACCACACAACAGTAACAGCCAGTCATTTTATAAAGCAACATTTTTAAGATATGTAATGAATTATGTTTTCTAGTTTCAAACAAGTACTACCACCATTGCATTCAACCATACACCCATTCAAAACAAGAAGTTTAAAAAGTTTCTTGACAACTAGTGTCCTCTTGTTCAGTTTTACATCAAACTAGGTGAATAGAAAACTAGCTTAATTTTAAAAAACATATAATTTGAAATTTCAATAAATCAAAAATGTTTGGATTTTATTGCTATTTGAAGTAAAAAGTGTTAACAGTATAATAATGAAAATATTAAGCATAACTAAAAAATGTAATCTTCTGAGATTGCAAATTATTTTTAACTTCATATATATAACATTTGTTAAATTTTGCTTATTATTTTATTTACTTCATAATATATTTAATTTAGATAAAAATCTCAAAAATAAATTTTATTACAAAATTTCAAATTCAAAAATTTATGGTATTATTTTTTTTTTTTATTATAGCTGGAATGGAGGAGTCAATCATTTATTATTTAATTTATTGCCAGGAAGTGTGCCTGATTATAATGCAGTTTTGGAAGTAGAAAGAGGACGAGCAATGATTGCTGGTGCTGGATTTTCATCTTGGACATATAGAAGAACTTTAGATGTCAGCATTCCTGTTTACAGTCCATTTGCACGAAATAACAAATTACAAGGATGTTCAGAAAGGTTTAGATTAATTATATTTATAAAAAATGAAAACAATTAAAAATGTGGATATTAACAAATATCCACATTCTTAATTGTTTAAAAAAATTTTCAGATATAAAAGCATTTTAATGCAGAATTTTAATAATTTGAATTTTTAATATCCAAGATTTTAAAGGCTATTCTTTATTGATTTATTGTGAATATAATTACTGCAGCTGAAAATTTATGATCTTGAGTTTACCTCTTCAACTGATTTTCATTTATGATTTGATATTGATTGGGCTGCAATTTTCAAATTGCAGACCTATGAATTCTCACTGGTGTTCATATGTTGTCACCAATCTCACCTCTGAAAGGAAAATCATCTGTGAAATTAAAGAGGGATACTTTTTCAAAGAATGTTTCCTCAAACACATAATGGATTATACAATCACCACAATATTACTGGTGTAGAATTCAATAAATAAATGCATGGAAACCTGATGATGACAGTTAAAAACAGAAGAAAACATTCGTTTTGAAGGTGGTTTTAGGTAACTACTTATTTATTCATAATGGATTATAAAATAATTCAATGGAACTGTCATGATTTTCACAACAACTTCTCTGACATTAAACACCTGACATCATCTATCCCATCGCTCTGTGTGGCACTCCAGGAAACACATCTAAAATCTGGAGAAAGAATTTCTTTAAAAGGATTTGATCTCTACTGCAAGGATAATGATAGCCACAACCATGCCAGTGGAGGTGTAGCTATATTGGTTTCATATCACATCCCATCCTTACTGGTACAAATAACCAGAGTTGTAAGCTGTGGCAGTCAGAATTTCAATTGGGTAACTGTCACAATTTGTTCTATATACTTGCCATCAGATGTCAGAGTCAATGAGGATGAATTGGATGCCTTGGTTGAATAGCTGCTGACTCCGTTCCTTTTACTCGGTGATTGCAACAGCCACAATCTGATGTGGGGCAGTCCCAACATCAGTCGTCGAGGCAGAGCCATTGAGAAACTTATAGGCAATCACCAACTGTATTTATTTAATACTGGAGAAGTGACATCCATGCCCCAATAAGAACATCTGCTGTCATTGATTTATCATTAGCAACTCCAAACCTGTTTTCAACATTTACATGGAGGTTAGATCTAATCTACTCTCCAGTGACCACTTCCCAATATTTCTAAAATACTGAGGCAGACAAAGCTGTGAAACAGCCCGTCCACCATGCTGCAAACCGGAGACAGCTGATTGGCCTGCATTCTCCTCTATGGCTAACATCTCTGAGGAAATCAATGGTGCAGTTGAAGCCATCACTTTCATTTTTATTTGATACTAGCAGATAAGCCCGGCGTTGCTTGGGCAAAAAGTAACAATAGCAAAGATTAAGATTATTACAGTACAGCCAATCTTACCCGTTTTCACAGAATGCAAGAATTAGGTTCCCCTGTTTCCAGACTAATTAGAAAATTTTTAGATGGGTCTAAAATTATGTTCGGTTTAATGCAAAAAACTGCATCTGCACCCATAAATCTTACATGTTGCTTTCTTTTAACACTTCCATTCTTAACACTTCCATTATTGAAATCTTAATCCTGTCACTTTCCCTGCGGAGGGGGGATTTCAAAAAATCCCTTGTTAGTGTGCATTCTCGTGACATACCCTAAAGCCTGATGCACACATGCGGTGTGGCAAGGAAAAGCGGCAGGATGACGTCACTTTTTCTCACTGCAGAAGTCAATTTTGTGCTGCTTTTCTCATGCCACAAAAGTTGGTTGAATTTTATCTTTTGCGGCAACCGCCGCCAAGACGCATTTCTATTAGCCAATAACAGTTTGTCTGGTAGTCACATGAGAAAATACAATCACGTGGTGTTTTAATGGCAGAAAGTTCGACACAGTTAACCAAGTTAACTAACATCAGAATAAAGAGGAAAGGTAATAAATTTAACACAAATTCTACATAAATAATCATATATAATTTAATTCAAAGAACAAAACAACCAATCTTACTTGAAATAGTATTCTTTATTGAGGAATAAGCATATTTTGTACATCAGTTCTTTATCAATCCAAGAAAATATCTCTAATCCAAAATCTTCATTTGAATCTTCGACAAAATCTTCTAACTAAATAAAGCACGCCGTACAAAACAAAATTTATAAACATGTGGATATCGACAATATCGGTATCGTTCACCATCTTGAATACTGAACGCATGCGCCGAAAAGTAAGTGGATTTCCGGTGCGCGCGAAGATACGTTTGCGACACCGCTTTTCCTTGTCGCACTGCATGTGTGCATCCGACTTAACTGTGTACCAATTTTTCGAGTTTCAACTCCTAACTGTGCTGAAATGTTCACAATGAAATACTCTTATACACGTGTGTCATCTATCGTAGGATAAATGTACTATGCGGGAGTGTATTAAACAACTTCCCAAAGTTTCATGGCAGTCGGATAAATGGTGTAGTAATGCATGAAGGACAGACAGACAGACATACATTCATTCATTTTTATATATATAGATTAACATTTTTATTGATGTGGTAAAATGAAGTACAAAATTTAAAAGGATTTCATAGGATGTGAAAGTTTGTAGTGCAGTAGAATCTGCCTATTATACTTACTTTAGGACTTTCTTATACTGATAATTTTAAAATTAAACTAATTTTGTTACTGTTTGTCTCTTGATAATTATGCACACATTCAGTATGAAGTATAGATGGAAATATGTGGTATTGTTGAAATAAACATCAAAGAAAAAAATCATTTATAATGATGTCATGTTTGAAAACACACTCATTTTTACAAGTGCCATTTGTGTTGTGTCTAGAAATGGTATTATATCTCAAACTTTCTAAGTGCAAATTGCTATGAATATATATGTTATCCTTTGGTGCAACAGCATGGTGCCATAGAAATGGGCAGCTTATATGAACTGCAGACGTTTAGATGTACAGGGTGTTTTTTTTAGAGGTATACAAATTTAAAATGAAATAAAATACGTAAAAATAATGTTAATGGCCACGGTGTTGGATTTATTTAAAAGCTAATTTTATGCCATTAGTGTTTAAACATGATTTTGGGCATATGGGTGCCACGGCTGGCTCAAATGAAGCGCAATCGGGAAGAACAATTTTCGACCATTTTATTGAACAAATGGGGCCGTATATCAGCAATAATGTGGCGAATGTTCACTTCCAAGTGGTCCAACATCTGTGGTTTATTTGTGTAGACTAGTGACTTCACATATCCTCAAAGAAAGTAATCCATAGCTGTGAGATCACACGATAGTGGAAGCCAGTTCACTGGTCCATTACGTGAAATTATGCACTCATCAGATGTTTCCTGCAATAAATTGATGGTGTCGTGTGCTGTGTGGCATGTTGCGTCATCTTGTTGAAACCAAAGCTCTGCCACATCAATACCATTCAACTGAGGAATGAAGTCAGCAATCATGGCTCCAAAAGTACTCTCCATTGATGGTAACATTTTGGCCGGCATCATTTTTAAAGAAATATGGGCCTATGATTCCACCTGCTCATAAAGCACACCAAACAGTGACTTTTAATGGATGTAAGTTACTCAACATTTGTAGTGTTATTGCCGATATACGGCCCCAGTTGCTTGATAAAGTGGTCGAAAATTGTTCTTTCCTATTGTGCTTCATTCGAGCCAGCCATGATGTCCATATGCCCGAAATCATGTTTAAACACTAATGGCATAAAATTATCTTTTAAATAAAGCCAACACTGTGGCCATTAACATTATTTTTACGTGTTTTATTTCATTTTAAATTTGTATACCTCTAAAAAAAACACCCTATATATTTTCTGATGTAATGATACTAAGGGAAGAACATTGTAGCTTGGTTTGGTCTGTGGTCTGAATGAATTGGACAAAATTATATTTGTGTCATTCAATCAGAAAGATATGTTGCATTTCCATTGTCTTGTCTTTTCAGAGATGAGTGTTACATACACTATATAATAGGATTTTCCAACATGGTCCCTTATTTTGGTTATTAATGATCTGTTAGTTGAGCCAATGTAGTCCAGTTGTCAGTCAAACCTGGTATCTAGTAACAGAATTTTATATATATCTAGGGTCAGTTTGCTGTCTATAGTCTTTTCCATTTGTTAATAAATGAAAGACTGATGGATTTCATTTACTAACAAATGCAATATCTTTGTTTACCTCTCTAGCTATTCTATAGTATACTTTGTGTAGCCTGGGATTGTACTCTTGGGTTAGGTATCTCCAATCTTGGATTATACAGGGTGTCCATAAAGTCTGGGTACATAAGGATTAACACATACTTTTAAAACAAAATAATTTTATTTGATTCTAATATTAATAAATAACATTTTCAATATGATTTTTATCATTTTCAATACATAATTTGATGCACCTTGCAAAATTCAGGTGAACTCGATTAAATAGGTCTGTATTGCCATCGATTTAAGCACATTGACTGGTAATGGTGTCCACAAATTATGTCACATCAAATTATGTATTGAAAATGTTATTTATTAATATTAGAATCAAATAAAATTATTTTGTTTTAAAAGTATGTGTTAATCTTTATGTACCCAGACTTTGTGGACACCCTGTATGCTGCTTTTCCATGCATGTATTGTTGACTATACTCACTTATATACACTACTGGCCATTAAAATTGCAACACCAGAAAGGAATGATCATACGAACATCAAAATCATATGAAAGGAAGAAGAGGTTGGGATATACAAATGATTAGTATTTCAGCGCATTTAGATGACACGGGAGGGACAAACGACATCTGAAGCACTGCATAAAAGAAAAGTTGGGCAGTAGATTTCTCATTCGGAAATTGCTTTGTAAGATTGGGGTTTCATCAGAATATAGTGTTATGCTTCGAATAAGAAGAAAATGCTTACCAGCAAGTGTCAGAATTCGATAGAGGCAGGATCGTTGCCTATCGAGAGAGTGTGGATTATCGTTCCATGATATTGCCACTTGCACTGGTTGAAATC